AATTAAAATTAAATTATTACTAATTATTTATTTATTTGTTTATTTAATTAATTATTATTAAATTAAATTTAATGTAATATGCCCATGCTACATTTATTATTAAATTAAAATTAAATTATTATTAATTAATTATTTATTTAATTAATTATTATTAAATTAAATTTAATGTAATATGCCCATGCTACATTTATTATTAAATTAAAATTAAATTATTATTAATTAATTATTTATTTAATTAATTATTATTAAATTAAATTTAATGTAATATGCCCATGCTACATCTATTATTAATTATGTATCCATTTATCACTTTCATTAAATTGCTTTATAATTTATATTATTAATTCATATTTTTATAAATATATATATTTTTTGAACAATTTAGTTATTATAATATATAACGTGTTTTCACTTTCATAATGTCAATGCTTAGTTTAAAAACACAATGTGTGTAATTCTACACTAAAATATTGTTTTAAAAAAGGCTAAGTATAAAAAATATAGTCACCAAAATGCCCTACATTAAAAATTTTGTTGATTAACTATAAGTGAAATAACCATGTTATGGTTGAAAAAAAGCATGTAATTATGCAGTAAAAAATAACTATATGTAGTATGTACCAAAATGCTTAAATAAAAAAATAAGTAAAAACACAATGGATGTAGTTTTACACGAAAAAAATTATTAATTATATATATTAAAACAAAACATACAATATTTCAATATGTTAGTGTAAAATTACATTGTGTTTTTAAATATTTTTATAATATCGTTTTTTGTTCAAAAATACTTTTTAACAATATTTTACTGTAGAATTGCATGCAGTGTGTTTCTAAAAAATAATACTTTTCACTTATAGGTAACACTTTACAATAATCATGTACTAATGCCTCAATTAATACTTACTTCATCATAAACGAATGATTATTAAAGGTGTTGTTAACTAATCACAAACTAGTGAAGAGCTATCCTTAACTACGGATTCACGCATGAATAACGGCAGCCTTAACTACATGTTTGATAGTTAATGCATTAGTTAACATGTATGGGTAAACTAAATCAAACAGCCTCTTTTCAGAAGGAATGAGAAATACATAATTTAATATCACGATTTGAGCTTCTGACATCTTCAGCGTTGTTATAATCATTTCATAATCAACGATTCCTAAAGAAATGGCCAAACTAGAAACATGCAGGTAAGTGGTACACTAGTTAAAAATGAGTTAATTATTATGGGCCCTCTCAAGTAAAGTCATGTCAAAATAATGCATTAATAAGCCATGAGTAGGTGTTAGTTTATGGGTAGTTAATAATGAGTTAGTAATGATGGGCCCCTCAAAGTAACGTCATGACACATTAACAAATCATCAAATAAAATACCATTAAACATGCAGTAAGAGTCAGCTTTATTCCTTACTACAAACAACGATAAAGCTCATTTATATTCTTTTATTAGTAGTATTAAAAATATAGTCACCAAAATGCTACATTAACAATTTAACTGGTTAACTATAAGTGAGAAATATTATATTTAAAAATGCAATGGATGTAATTTTACATTATATTTCTTTGTACTCCTACAATATTATAGTCAACAAAAAGCAAATCATTAAAAAATGTAATGGGTTACCATAAGTGAGAAAATATTATTTAAAAAATGCATGTAATTCTACAGTAAAAAAAAAAGTCACCAAAATTCTACATTAAAGAATTTAAATTGTTAACCGTATATAAAAACACAATGTCATTTCACACTAAAATATTGTAAGATTTTTAAAATAAAAAATATTGTGTTTTATAACAAAATGCTGCATTAAAAACATAATTGGATTCT